TATCTGTTTGTGTGGCAGCTCTGGTGTCTTCAGGGTATATTCCCAGTAGTGGAATTGCTGGGTCAAATGATATTTCTATTTCCAACTTTTTGAGAAAGCGCCATACTGCCTTTCAGAGTGGTTACCACCATTTTACACTCCCATCAACAGTAAATAAAGAGTTCCAGTCTCTCATAACCTCACCAGCATTTGTTGTTTGCTACTCTGTTGAACTTTGTTTGCTGTTGTTACCAGAGTGAGATGACATCTCCTAGTTATTTTTAAATAAAATAAATTTTTAAACTCAAAACATAACAAACAATAAAGAACTTTTGTACCATTTGAGGGAACTTGTGTGGTGCAAGCAGTTTGCAGTGGGCTGCTAACCCAAAAGTAGGTCGTATGAACCTAAAAGCGTGTTTTTATGTGTATATTTTTACCAAAACCAAAATGTTTTAAGAGTCTGGTGTGGGGGAGTAAAAGATAACCAGGACCACAGGATGAAAAAGGAGTTTACCACTCATTTTACTGTCTTGGCACTTCTTCTATATCCCTTCATGTAGGGCTTAGTATTTCATAGTATGACTGTACTTATTTGTAATGTAATACAATACAACCTGTCCTCTGGGCATAGGTGTTTTTTATTGTTCCTAGTATCTGCTGCCACAAATGGTGCCTCTGTGACATAGTATCCCTGTATATGAATTGCTATATAAGCTATACTTGCATAGTTAACTGGATACATTTCTTACAGTGAACTTTAGGAGGCAGAGAATACGTTTGAGGTTTTTAAAAATTTTGATAATTGCTCATATATAAAGCATTCTATTCCATTAAGGAATTTCAAAAGCTTTTCCACTGATCAAACACCATTTGTTTAAGGAACAAGTCATTACTTAATTTAATATTTATTGAGTGGGTACTATCTAAATATGTGGGGTACAGCGGTGAACACAAAGTCCTTGCTCTCTCTCAGTGAGCTTTGATTTAGAGACAGGAGAGGGATTGATTTCCTTATAGAGGTACTATGAGAGAAGTAAATTAGAGTAAAGGGTGTACATACTGTTGTGGGGAGTGTTATTTTTATGTAAGGTAGGTAGGAGAGATTTCTCTGGTGATAACTGAGTAAAGACCTGAAGGGAGTAAGATATCCAGTCAGTCATTCAGGTGATTTAGAGAGAAGAGTTCCTGGCAGAGGGAACAATATACTTGGTTTCTCTCAGAAGATAATTTACATGTGGGATCCTTAACGTGGACTCCTTTGAGCATCAAGGAAGGTGTGGACCCTTCTCAGGAAAATACTTGAGACTCAAAAAAAATTATGCTGATGTTCTTAGATTAAGAAATCTTGCAGGTTAAGCCCTTTTATCAGAATGTCTCTAAAAGTTATAGGTTGATCTTTAGAGGATCTTTGAGAAGATCGTTTTTAGCAAAAATTTAGATGTTTTAAAACATAAATCCCATTCCATCCCTAAGTGAAAAATCAGAGTCTTAGATTCTGAAAATACTTTTTGCTCACTGGCAAAAATGTGAGATGATTTTGGTTGAATACCTCTTTCTTTTTTGGAGGAATAAATACATCAACTGAAAATTAAGTGATTAATGTTCTGTTAAGGGATGCCAAAGAAAGGGATTGGTTCTTTTGAAAGGCTGCCATCCTTATGAAATTTTGCTGGCTTTTAAATGAAAATTCAAGGAGTTCAAACTGCAGAACAGAGATGAACCAAACCAAACACATTGCCTTGAAATCAGTTCTGACTGACCATAACTCTGTAGGACGGAGTAGAACTGCTTCGCAGGGCTGCCGAGACTATAAACCTTTCTGGAAGCAGGCTGAAACATTTTTCTCCCAAGGGTGGGCACTGCACCATCACGGCACCCTGGATTGGTCATCTCCCATAAGTCTGTGCTACACCTAGTTCTCGAGATTCTTAAACATGTTTTCCTCTGTTCTTGGAATTTTTTCCTAATTGCAGAGTTTGGAAGCAGGAGTGGCATCCACTTCCTAAATAACATGCCTCCAGAAACCCTATGAACTTTGATAAATGTCGATAGTTGTAGAGGGGCTTCAAGCCTTTTGTTCATAAGGTTGCTATGAATCATGCTCCACTTGAAGGCGATCAACAACAACAAAGTAAAACTGAATGAGCATACAACATAGGAGATCTTTCGGGTTTTATAGGACAATATACACTTTTTAATATATACTTTCTAAAAGTAAGTAATTTTGTTGTTGTTAGGTGCCATCGAGTCAAGTATGACCCATAGCGACCCAACGAACAACAGGTCTGAACCTTGTCCTATCCTGTGCCATCCTTAAACTTCCTGACACACTCTAGAGCCTATTGTGGAAGTCATCATGTCAATCCACTTGGATGAGAGTTTTCTTCTCCTTCACTTACCCTCCACTCTTCTAAGCACCATGCCCCTCTCCAAGGAATAGCCCCTACTAGCAGCGTGTACAAACTATGTCATTCTTGCCTCCAAAGAGCATTTTGGAGATGACTTTTTAACTTTTTTCTCCCCAAACTGAGCTATGAATAGAATCTACATTTTATGGTTTCCTAAAAAACAGAGCGTTTTAATAACCCCAGATCAGGAAAGAACATAATTTGAAATTATAGGCTTTAAGATAAAGTTGTTGGTGTGTGTTGTCAAGTTGGAACTGACCCATAGTTGACCATCCAGTGAATACAGGACGCCTGTACCTCATAGTATCAGTTGCATCCCTTTGGCAGATGCCCTCTATTCTGGAGGTAGAGTATTGTAAAAGTGCCCACTGCAGCTAGAGTGGGAGTTCTAGCTCTAGTGGAGGAGGCCACAAACAGATGATTTATTGAAAATGACCATGTCAGTACAAGCTAATCCTTATTAACTGGCTGCGCACTTGTGTCAGGAGCACAGGGAAATTCTCTGTCCTCCTCTCCCCAATAAAACTACCTCCCGATTTGTTGTGTGCTGTTGAGTCATAACTGAACCTTAGCTGACCCACCTGTTGGTTTTCGGAGGCAGTAAAATTGCACAGGAGGAGATTGCCTATCCTTTTCCCACACAGCAGCTCACTCTAAGATGTGTAAAAGTCTATAAATGAGGGCTTTTTAATCTCTTAAAATCCAAATATTCTAGGGGAAAAAAAGAAATCTGTTTTTTTCTTATTTCTCAGTGTAAACAACTGCATCAAATTCTCATAGTTTCTGAGCACCTGCTGTTTGCATTGTGTTGGACTGGACTGGGGTGAACAATACGTTTAAAACTCTATCAATCTGTTCTAAACCTAATTCATATTTTTATAGTATGTTCACTAAAAGGAAAAGCACTTGTAGGGAGCTTTGGTAGACTTGTGGTAAGAAGCTGAGCTGCAATCCCAACGGCATACAGTTCCCAGCCACTAGCTGTTCTGTGGGGGAAGAATGGGCAGTGTCCTCCTGTGCTATTTACAGCCTCTGAAAACACACTGGAGGGTCAGTGTTGTTTTCAACTCAGTGGCACACAGCTACAACAACATAGCACATGTGGGTTGTAGGCATTATTTTGTGAACCAGTCCGCTACTTAGCTACAAGGTGATCTCTTCCCATTTCTACCTTGCCTCTCCCTTTTCCATCCTTGAGGTATCCCTGCACATCCTTGCGTTTTCATTATTGCTTTTGGTTAGAAGTTGCTTGGTTTGTCTTGTTTTGTACATTATAGACTGAATATAGACAAATATGTTATTTGAATGAAAGTTGACTTTTAGGAGTAGCTTCAATTCCAAGTTAAAAGGATGTATTAGATTGATAACCTCAAAGGTTCTTTAAGTCTCTTATCAGTCCAGTAAGTCTGGTCTTTTTCATGGATTTGAATTTTATCCTACGTTTTTCCCTTCTACCCTGCCCCTTCTTGTGTGTCTCTTGTCAGAGTGGTCCTAAGTGAGCACCATCCAGTTCTGCTCTCATCGTTAGTTTATGTGGTTCCTATGGACAAATTCCTATCTTGAGTCTTTGGTTTCCTTCATTTTCCTTTGTTTCAGATAGGAGAAAACCTACCTATACATGTATTTTAGATGGCCACTTAAAAGCTTTTAAATCTCAGATGCTACTCACCAAACTAGAATGTAGAAAGTTATCATTAGGAACTTTGTTATTCCAATTGACCTAGATATACCCAAGACTATGGTTCTTAGCTTACAAGCCCAGTAACTCAGTCCATGAATTGTTTACATATTCCATAGGTATTCTAGATTGGAATCTTAACAAATCAACTGCTTGTCTTCCCTGGTGCTGCTGGGAGGGTTGGAATTGCCAGTCTCTAGATTAGTAGCTAAGCACTTAACCTTCATGCCACCTTGGAGACCTTTAGGGAAGATGAATTTTAACATATTAGGAAGTTGAAGATCTAGAAATATATTTATTTTTTAAACTCCTTATGCCAAGAGACTCCTTAGAAGGCCTTTGGGAACTCTTAAGTTACTTGTACTTCAGTCAGAGTAGTGCTGGGGAGGACACCGAAGGGCATGCCAGGATATGTGCCCTATAGGGGTGCTTTCTAGGGAGTAACATGGACTCCTCAGCGGCTACCAAATGGATCCTTCTCCAGGGCTGTGTTTAATAACAGAGACAGAAAAAGGGTCTGAGTTCCTTGGTAGGGAGCTTTGTGGTCCTTGACTTGCTTTGTGGCTTTTTGAAAACTAATGACCCAGAACAATTTTTTCCGCCATTAGACTTTCCTAGAAAGGAAAGAGACTTGAAGACTCTTGATGAAAAGACATTGACTTAGTCTGAATTTATGAAAAACTCTTTCTATTCTAAATGTGACGTTTTACCCTGAAGGGCCTATTTAAAGATTAAAGAATGATGAAAATACAACTTAGCACTCTTATAAACACCTTCCACACTAAGTCTGCAGACCCCACTTTAAGAAATGCTGATCAGAATTGGTTGTAGTTCCTTTTACTTGGTATTATTCTGGACAAATGGCTGCCCCTCTGTTAGAAAAGCAGCCTCTGGCTTTGCAGATCACACACTGACTCTTCCATTTGTGCAAGAAGAAGCAGGGAGAAGTCAGCAAGGCGGCGAGTGCCGACAGCACAACCGAGGGCACTCCTGCTGATGGCTTCACCGTCCTCTCCACCAAGAGCCTCTTCCTTGGCCAGAAGGTAGGCAAACATGTGGCTCCGGGCAGCTCGAGGGCCCCTGGGGAAGATGAGTATACATCATCCTGCTAGGAAGCCTAGGGCTTTCCAGAGGTCACTCCAGATCTTGTGGGAGGGGAGAGTGAATAAGGGCCTGCCTCAGGGAAGGCCAGTGAGGGAGCACTGAGGAGACCATGAGGCTGAGGGGAAACTAGCAGGTGGGGAAGAGGAAAGAGTGATAGAGAAGAGGGACTTCAGGATCTCATGGGGAGTCAGGCTTGGGGTGGAGCCACTGCATGGGATAATCTGGTCATCAGATAGTACCAGCCAGAATGACATGCAGAAGTCAAACCCCTGTCCTGGGAATAGAAATATCTAGCAGAGAGCACACTCTCCTGATGGGTACTGAAGGCAGCGCCCCCATCCCAGGGGTGGGGTCATTTGTAGACATACTAAATGGGTGCACGGGGTTTCTTCACTAAACCACCAGATGATGCTTCAAACCAATTGTTTGTTTGTTTTAACTTTGGGCAATATATTTTCAGCCACCCCAGTGATGCAACTTTGCAAGGACGCCATGGTTTTGTAAAAGATGGTTCACTTTTATTGAAAATAAAAATGATGCAAAGGCTTTTAAGAGCTGAAAATGAGAGTTAATGGATATTTCTCTATTTACACCAAAAATGGGGGGTGGAGAGAAGGGGAATGAAAATTTTCGTACATTTTTTATCCTACATGAAATTATTAAAGGCATGCATTTGACTATCCATGTAAATTGTGTTTAGTTTTAATGTTATGACAACTTGGTTCGGAAGCTGCATCATTTTTAAATGCTCACTGTCAGTTTTCTTTTGCATCACAGTGACACAGTCCTCCTGATCACGTCATTGCAAGTTCTTCTCCTCCCCTTTTCCCTCCTGCCTATCACCAATTGCACTCAGTCTGTTGTGATGCAATTCCTGTGATGGACTCTGTGTTCCAGAAAATAACCATTACAGTTTACATTTTATAACCATTATCTGTATTTTGTATGCATTTTTCAAAAGAAAAAAAAATTAGCAGCACTAGTTGTCATCTTAAGGTCTGGGGCTTTGAAAGATTTTGGTTGTTTTTATGTGGGGTTTTTTTTCTCCATTGTTGTTAATTTGGTTTTTTTTTAAATGTTATTAACTTAATGTGACTTACTATCCAAAATGCTTTGGTTTGAACTGAAGCATGAAAAACACCTGCTCTTCCATGTGTTCTAGATCTTTATACAGGCAATATTCAGAGCTTAGAGGGTTTTTAAACAGGGAGACCCCTTTTGCGCTATCCTCCCTTTCTCTTTCCCTCACTTGAACTGAGACAGCCTTAGACTCTCCCTTCCCTTTGCTCATCTTACTACCTCTTGCCCACCACCCAGAGCCAGCTCCAAAGCAGAATTCTGCACACCCCGCTTTGCTGGATGAACTCCAGAATAGCAGTACTGTGCTATTCAGAAGTCACCATATAAATGGAGAGGTCCTTCTTGTTTCTCTTCTCTTCAGAAAGAAATGGGATGTGTTCCTTGTCTGGACTATATGTGTGTGAGCCCTAGAGGGAAGTGGGCAAAGGCTGCTGACCCCTCACTGACTCCTGCAAATCAGAATACACATGCGTTGTCTTCAGCAAAGATAGCAACATTTTCTGTATTTTGGGTACGCTTGGTTTCAGTCCTCAGAACCAGGCTATAGGAATAAAAGCCCCATAAAGTATAAATCTAACTGTATCTCACTCAGAGTTTTGGGAGAGAATCTCACAGAGCTATAGAGAAATATTTAATTATATAATAGTTTACAGATATGCCATATAATGCTATTTAAAAAATAAGAGGCAAATGAAAGAAGTGGACTTAGTGAAACTGATGTTCCTATTTGATGGATTAATTTTTGGAGAGATAATTTAAGCAGATTGATTGAGCTGTTAAGCAGAGTGGCTGAATTCAGGGCAAACAGATCACCCAGCTTCTTTCCCATAGTACCCGTTTAAGTCACATGTGGTAAATACAAGGCACCAAGCTATTCTGAGGCTGTTCTTCTCGTTAAAAATGCTTTTCCAGCACTAAAAATGTCTTTTAACAGAGTAGACTCCAAACACAGTTCCATGGAGTAATGTCAGATCTCATGTTAGCCTGAGCACCAGTGTTAGAAAAGAGAGTGCCAGCTGCCTTCTCGGAACACTACAGCTCTCATCATGGGGCAGTGAGTACTTGTGTTCACAGCAAAATTTGTGAGTTGTGTGCCTCGGGGCTTTAATAGCAATTTTTGCCCGGTGAAAGGAGTTCTGGTGGCATGATCCGTAGAGAGTTGCCCTGCTAACCCTGAGGTCTGAATCCACCAATCACTGTGCAGGAGAAGGATGAGGACTCCCTTCCTGTGTGATTTCTAACCTCAGAAACCTGCTGGAGGGTCAGCTGTGAGTCAGTTCCAACTCACTAGTAGTGAGGTTTTTGCCTTTATATTTTAGATTGTCAAGGAAAAATGCCATACAGTGTGAGACTCATAAAGGGGGTCAGGATTCATTTAACTGACACAAACAGGCATTCATTTCATCTAGGATTTTAGGAAGTGTTTCAAAATGAATATTTTATATTCTGAAAATCTTATTTTCCATCTCTGCCAATAAAACCAGAGCTTGAATATTACAAGCAAGCTGAAGGTGGAGAGATGATGCTGTGTTTGCTACAGCCTTGTGAGACATGGTTGCCATGCTACGTATGCACAGGAGAAAACCGGCCCAGCACTTAGGCGCCTTGCACCTAATTGTTGTTAATGGTGGTGTATTTCACATCCTGAATTCTCTAGAGTAATCATGCTCATCATTTTGTGATTTTACCTAATCTTCCCACATATTGCTGAATTATTTTATAAAACAAAACACTGTTGTAAATCCAAGTTAATGAAATCTTTTTGCTCTGTGGTTCAACTGAGATTGGCAGCCCTTTTAGAGGTGACAGAATCTGATGACTTTGTGTAAACAAACAAAAGCCCCACTCTCAGCATATACTGCTATAAATCTCTGTCAAGTGGTAGTAACTTGTTGAGAGTCAGACATTCTCAAGACAGTCTATATTTAAGTCCAAGGCAGGTAGCACAAGACAAGTGAGGGGGAGCCCCTTTGTCCCTAAGAGGAGAGCGAGAGTAGGCCCACTGTGAAATTTAGTTCTCTGTGAGGAAACTAGCAACAGTCCATGGATGACATATCCCTTCCATTCCCCTTATTTGAAATAGACTTTGGAGACAGGAAAAGAGTTTTATATATTTGTTGTGGTTTGAGCAGGGAAGCAAGACTGGCCAGTCTTCCTTCCTCTTCCTAATAGGAAATGAGCAACACCAAAATTTTATAATTACAGTCTAGACTTCATATATTGCTTGGATTTAACAATTACTTCACTTCCTAAAATTGAATTTATGATGCTATTGTATTTTTTTTTTAAAAAAAAAAAAGATTGTATTACTTACCGAAGCCAACTAAGTCACATCAAGGCAGCCTAGATACCACCCAGTAGCTCCAAGCTACTGGCTCCATTCCTGTCGTCATCAGCAAACTGCCTCCTGACCTGCCCTGAATGGTGAATTACCAGCCTCCCTTCCAGATGAAGCTGAGTTGGCTCAGAACCCCCTTAGGTCCGAGCCAGGCCAAGGGCCCCATTGCAGGCTATTGATGAGTCTTCTTCCCATCCTGAGGTCACATTCTTCTCATAAAGTCCAGCTTCTTGAATGATTTGCTCAGCATACAGATTGAATAGGTATGATTAAAGAATACACCTTTTCTGATTTTAAATCATTCAGTGTTCACCCTCTAAAAAAAACTGAAATTACAAAAATTAGAGCAGAAATAAATGAAATAGAAAACCAAAAAACAATAGAAACTATCAACAAAACTAGGAGTTGGTTCTTTGAAAAGGTCCATAAAATCGACAAACCATTAGCAAAACTCACAACAGAAAAGAGCTCGGGCATTTCCATTTAGCCCTGTTTAAGAGAAGGCAAGGGAGAAGGGAATATTCTCAGCTAACGTTTCACATTCATATTCAACTCTGTGTCCACAGAAACGGTACCACCGTGGTGGGCATGATATAAGACTTAAAGTGATACCCCCAGTCCTGCCTTCAGATTATAGTCTCAGCACACACTGTGGTAGAGAGTGAGGACACATGTGGACATGAGCATGATAGGAAAGGCTTGGGGACTCTTGCTGTCAGAGGCTGGCAATAACACAGTCAACTGAGAGCAGAATAACTCAGTCCTGGTTGTGAAGGAATCTTATAGGCCACTTAACATTATTCTTTTCTTCCAACTTGGACTCCCTTCCTGCTTCATAACCGCAAATACCCTTTGGTTATTCTCTCTAGTGGCCAACAATCCTCACAACTAATTCTCCAAGACATGGTTTAAAACTTACAGCTTCTTTCCTGGTGATGAGGCAAAGAGGTACTCACCTAATTCAGATTCTGAAATAATACGTGATCCTTTTTCTTTCCTCCAGATCAGGCCAATCTTGGCAATTTTCAGTTCTCAGAAATCTGATTTTTTTCTAACTCACAAGTACCACTGCTTGCTTACCCTTCCTCTGACCAAGAGGGCTAATAGAATTTGTCCTGTGTGGTAGAATGGGCACAGAGTCACCTAGGATAGACTTCATTTATGACCTATTGGAAACTTGGACCCTTTACAGACATGCAGATACATGGGCCACTTGCACCCTATATTAATGGGTTTTCTTCTTGTCTAGGGGCATTCCTGTCTTTGATGATCATTTTACTGTTGACCCAAGACAGATTTATTGTCCATTTTATCTTCCCAAAAGCGTGAATCAATTTGCCTATATTCTCCCCTCCCCTCTAAATCACTCTCCATACAGATAAACCCAATCCCTGCAAAAGAGTTTGTAGACTGAGTCCCCACCTCCTGAGTTGTTCTGCTGAGCACACAGTATAGGTTGCTTGGAAGATCATGACTCTAGCCTCCTCAAGATGTGAGTAAGAGTTACCAGCACTTGGCTAGCTGGAAATGTTCAATGCTGAATGACCATTGCTCCCAAAGGTGCACTATTTTGTGCTTCCAAGAGCTGCTGCCTCTGGTCAGAAGGGAGGGCAGATGAGTCCAGAGTGAATGACAAATTCTCCAAGGAACTTGAATTCTGCTTTCTGCTGTCCTTTGCCTTCATCAAAACTTTCTTCTGCCGTCTGGAATGCCAGATTCCCTAGAATGCATTCTCCTAAATAGAAGTAGTGGTTCACCCCGGGATGTCAGAGACAGACTACTAAGGGTTTCCTGGTTGGTTGAATTAGAACTCATGCAAATAATAAAATATCCTGAAGCCTATTTATATAATTGGGGAGAGGGGGATAGTGTAAATTCTAATGATTTGAGAATGTATTATTTTAAAACAAAATATTCTGATAAGTGTCTTAAATGTATATTCATCCAAGTCAGACTGAGGGCAGTGTATCTTTCCTCCTTTCACCTTCATCATCCTTCCTCCCTCACCAACCTGCCAGTGTAGTTTTGTTTTGCTTTTTGATGGGGTAGAGGTGGGGGGGCCGGGAATATTGACTTAATTTGAATTTCCTAAAACAGCATTTGTATGGAGTCAAATGCAACACTTAATAATAAAATCCTCAACTTTATTCTGAATCCTGAATGTTCACTTGCCTTACCCTGAGCCCCTAATCTGTCCCCTCCTTACACTTTCCTGAGGATAGTGGTCACCAAGTCTTGGTGTTTGTTAAACTGAGGGTCATTGTGAGACCATTACACTGCTTGAAATGATAACTCAGAAAGTCCGAGCTCATGAGGCTCAGTGCCTTGTGAAGGGACCTGACTGGCATCATTGTCTGGCTGATGACCAGTTTATTTTTGTAACTGCTTTCTCACAAAGAATCACTTTTAGTCTAAGCAGGTTTCTTTTTTAAGAATTTATTTACTACTACTACTGGGAATCAGAAATGTGGGTTTACATACCTGATACTTAAAGAGTGTCAGGGTTTTTGCTTTGAACAAAACTTGGGGCCCCAGAAATTCAGCAACTTGGAGTTAAGTTGCCAAGAGCCTCCTGCCAAATGTCTGCACATGGACCTCTTCTTGGCCTGGCTGGGCCCCTCAGGCAGCAGCGGTCAGCCCGCCAGCCTTTATCCAGTCCATCCTGGACACCAGCTTCTTTGGAGGCTGCTTAGTCATTTCACTTCAGATGTTAGCACTTTGTGCCACTGAAAAATGAACGTCTTTATTAAAAGAGAGAGAGAATGATGAGCTTTATGAGGACCCAGGGCAGCAGTCCTAGATCGGTTCATTTTCTTTGCCCCTCTGACAGCAGAATCTAAAACTCAGGATTTCTGCTATGGTGACAGAATGAGAAGTAATGGGGGAGGGACGCTATTTAGTGACTATGCAGAAAGAGCCAGTTGGTTGAGGAGACAAAACTCACTATAAGAAAATGCTAAGCTGTCCATTTGGCCTCAGAAGAGCCTAACTGCCATGATGGAAACAGTTTAAGAGATTTATTGTCCTGCTAGAGAAGAGTGTGTTTTCTCTGTGGAGTTTTCACAGAACTTGAGCATGGCCTCACTAATGAGCATATAAAATTAGATGCTACTAAGGGAAGGGGTCATTCTAGCTCCTTATCCCCACTGAGCAGGGCAGGGGTGCCAGCCAGCCAGTAGTGACTGTGACAGTGACAGCTTTAAAGACAGTGGCAGAGCTACTAGGGGTCCCCAAGCTGCAGGGGACTTCTGCAGGGTCCTGCTGCTCAAGGGAGAGTACAGTCACAAATAACACCCTGTCTTTGATTCTGGGTCTTGATAGCTGCCTTAGTTTGAGTCCCAGATCATAAGTTCCTATAAAGTCAACTAGGTCATCAAGTCTAGCATAACTTATGCTTCCCTTTTATCCCAAGCATCACCCAACAGGTTCTCAACCCTCAACTCAGCGGTTCTTCTTTTCAGCACTTGAGTCTTAGATTTGCAGTCGATTCATTTTAGCCAGCGACGCCATATCCCCTTTTGTGCCCACTGCACTTTGCGTGTCCACTGCCCTTCATCTGTATCCCAAGGCTCCCTTCTCTGTGACTTCCCGGCTGTCCTGTTATTTCCCACCTCATGCTTTTCTTTTCAGCTGAACCTTATTCACAGTGAAATCAGTAATTTAGCCGGCTTTGAGGTGGAGGCCATAATCAATCCTACCAATGCTGACATTGACCTTAAAGATGACCTAGGTAATTGGGGATGGGGTTTGGCACCACCAGCTGTCAGATGAAAAATTATGGAACCCAGAATTTAGGCTCTTCATTGTCTCAAAATTTAAAGCAGTCAAGCCAAAATAGTAAATAAGAAATTGACATTTGAATGTGGAAATTGAATGTTTGATTTCACCATGCCTTTCCAAATAGAAAAGGTCTGATATGTTTTATTTCATTAAGTGTTATTGGCTATTTTCTCTTCAGTTGCAAATAGATTACCATCTAAATTCTCTTCCATAATGATCACACTGACTGCTGGTTACTTGGGGGGATTTTTTTTAATGTGTTTGTTTTTTTAAAGATCCAAACAATCTCAGGTAACTAAAAATGATAGTTTCTCCATTTAAACCTTAATTAGAAATGACATTCCAATAAAGCTTGAAAGCACTTGAAAAAGGAGACAATTAACCTGCATCAGTATATCTTTGAGCTATCTAAAATTCACAAGCAAATCAGTTTCCCCAAAATTTACTGTTGTCACTTTTCTCCCACAGAAAACAGTAAATGCCTGAGTGTCCATCCCCTTAGTGCATTCTTTTGATCAAGCACAATTTTCAAGAGATAGCTCCTGCTGAGCCATCCCTCTAGAGGAAAACTGCTCAGTGCCTTGGTGTCCCTCTGCTCTGGGAGGGTTCAGGGCAAGCTGAGAACTTGTATCAGAATTCTTCCTCTGTGACACCATCTTTACATGCAAAGGGGCATAAAATGGCTCATCTTCTCTTTCAAGACCAAACAGGCCACACAGGTGCTTACAAAGGCAGTCTCGTCCTGAGTGCTGACCTAGCTGTATTTTGTGTGTTTTTAGCACCCAGTTTCAGCTGCGTTTGTAAAATTGTTGACTTCCTTACTAGAAAAGACGTTCATTCTAGGTCCTTGACCCACCCTGTATGAACTATGTGCAGCCATGGGCCAAATGCCCACTCAGACTTGTCACTCATCTGGCTTCTACAAGTCTGTTAAAACATATGCATGCAAGCTAAAGAGAGCAACAACTCTACCACAGTGCATTTTAAACATAAAATACAAATAAAATTGGATCAACTCAAATAAGAGCAAAGCTCAGAAAAGATATCCACACTTTGAGAGGGAAATGAAGGCAACCCACACATAACTACTCTTTTCTCCTTTTACAACCCAAAATCCCTTGCAGGTAGACAAAATGATGAATGTGACAAGGATATAAATCGAAGCCTGCAAGTTGATTGCTACAGCTGAAATGGAGAAACTTGTTGTTTTGGTTGGCCTGATGGTCCACATTTTTTAAAAACAGATGCCATGTTTTAGTAGTTCTTCATGGGGTGCCAGTTTTATAGGCGTTTGCGCAGTGAACCGGGGCATTCGTTGTTTTGTTATTTCTTTTAACCTTTGGAAATGATCTCATGTGTGTGTTTCTCTTTTTTTGGACTTGTCATTCAACTGTTTGATTTAAACATGTCACATTTGCTATTCCTCCTCCTCCTCTGCTCACCCCCATCCACATGTGCGCACACTGCGTGGACTGGTTGCCCCTTTGGCTCATATGTTGGATTCGACCAGGTAGGCCAGCCCTGCCATTGGGGCATTAGTAAATGTGCCTGTGCGTGGGTCTCGGTCCAACACAGTTGATATACATTTGTTTACCTGTTATAGTTGCAAGTTGTACAGGCTGACATTGCCTCGATCGACAGTGATGCTGTCGTTCACCCGACAAACACTGACTTCTACATCGGTGGTGAAGTAGGTAATGCCTAGCCGGGTGCTGCCGAGTGTGTGTGTGCATGGTCAGTCGGCCGCCGCAGACAGCTTGATCCTTTGACAGCTATGCAGGCTGCATTCATTTCACACTTCCAGCTGTCCTGACCTTCCCAAGGTCCCTGTCCTGGGGCCGTGAATATAGAAATACAGCTAACTTCAGCCAGGAAGCATCATGTAGCTTCTAAGTGGGCACCTGGTTTGGAAACTGTTTTAGTAGCATCATTTCTTCATTTTCTTCCTGAGGCACAGCTTTGTGAAAACCTGGGTTCCCAGCTGATTTCAGCTTGAAGGAGCATGCAGTGAAACCGGCTTAAGAACAGCCAGGATGACATCTGCATCCTCTACAGAACAATAAACATGAATCTGTGGACATAGGCATCTGTTCTCCCTACCCTAGCTCTTGTTTCAGAGTACCCCTACTCCAAAAGTGCGCTTAAAGCCACAGATGTACAGTGCTCTCCACCCTCAGGGGTGCATGAAAATCAGTTCTTTCTCTGTGGTGTCTTCACCCGTGGGAGCTGATGGTGCACTTGTTGATTGGTCTCTGGCATCATTAGCAGAGGCAGAGAATGCTAAGGCTGCCAGATGCTCCAGCTGTAGATTTGCCAGAACAGTGTCAGGTATGCTGAGGGGCTCCTACCATGAGACAGAGCCCAGATGCAGTGGGTAAGAAGAGCTGGTATGGCACCTGGGCAAGCCACTTAGGTTCTTTGATGCCTTAGTTACCCTACATGTAAACTAGTGGTAATAATGAGAATTACATTCAACAGTATAAGCAAATTGCCTTGTTTTGTGCTTGGCTTAAGTGTGTGCTCACTATATGATCTTACCATCATGTATGTATATGACTTTTACAGTGAATATGATGGTCTAAGTCTGTAAATAGCATTCTAAGTATAAATCTATATGCTAGCTTCTCAACAGAGTGGGTACATTTTTCATACACTGAAAAATGAGTTCATCTTGAAGGATTATAAGAGTATTGCAATTTTCAAAAGTGCCCAGGACACTAGGTGGGCAGTAACTCATCTATTTAGCTTATCTGGCTCTGTTGAGTATCATTAGCAGAGACTCCTGTTCACAGTCTTCCTCTGCCACTGTGATTTGGGCTAATTACTCTTCTGGGCATTTTTAATTTTTGACATGGATGGAGAGTCAGGATTCAGCAAGCCTGCCAGGCCAAAATAAAGTCAGGCTGTCAGCAATTAAAATAAACTCCCCTTTCACAAGACTTTGGAGGAGTTTTAAAGCTCCAAAATCAGGCAGCTTAAGAGAAAGATGCTTCCTTTCTTAACCAAATGAAAACATGATGGAAGGGAGGTACTTATTTGAAGAAAAATAAATAAAGAGCTAAGGGTCTGTCTTTCAGCCAGGAGTGACTAAGGCCTAGGCTCATCCTGCCATCCAAGACATGTGGTAAAATGGAAAGTATGAAACTTCCTGGGCAAAACTTCACCAGGCCCAGGAAGAGGAGAAAGTCCACTGACCTGCTGTAGGCCATGGAGGAGGCAAGTTCCAGCTGTGTTAGCCATATAGGGATGTGGAGCTGCAGGCCTGGACACGGGGCGTGAGTGAGCTAGTGGTAGCAGACACAGCCAGGTGACCTAGGTTGGAGACAGTGCCCTGAGTCATTGCACACATTATTCATGACAAGGTCACAGTTAGAACAGACCTCCATAGGCCTACACGCCCCGCAGGGCTTGCAGAGGAGGCAAGACTGTGCCTGGACCAGAACCCAGATCTTCCAAAGCCCACCTCGGTGTTTTCCCTGTGCAGCGAATCAGTCCAAACCAGAACTGAACCCAGATATTTTCACATGGCCCAATCAGTGACAAACCAGATTCATCCATGGTCTCAATTGGTTCCAATTCCCACTTTGATGTGTTAGAGGGGAGGGGAAAGGAAGTGAGGACGTAATTGCTTCATTTCTCGTATTTGGTGAGAATTCCTGAGTCCTGAGACTGCTGGAAGAAGGAATGCGAGTGCAGGAATGCTTAGCCCCAGTGATTAACTTTGACCGATCAAAAGTTCTTTCTAACAGTGAAATAGACCACAGGCTTAGCCTGACATTTGTCCAAGCCTAAATTTTCGCTCAGGCTGTTTTGAACACTGATACTTATGCCTGCTTTCTAAGCATGAAATAATGTTCTTGTTCTCATGGGAGTAACACATGTTTATGCTTGGGGGCAAATAAGCCAATTGCTTTATGATTAACCCTGAAGTTAAGCCTAAAAAGCAAGTCTTATATTAAGAGTGTTGACAATCCAGTTGAAATGGGCCTGTTTCTTGTTAAAAAGTACACGTGTGTCTACATGAACATGTGCATACATATGTGTGTGTAGGAGTTGAGTCCTGACTGGGTTGATTGCCTGCAATCTAGGGTGGAATTTTACAGTTTGGGACATGTATTTAAGTGTATCTTAACTTGCAAGTTTCACTTCTAATTAAAACAATATTTAATTATAAGTTAAAAAAAATTTAAACACTCTTCCTAAGATAAAACACCTTTAATTCTAAAGTAGCCCATGTTCTTCAGAAATATTTAATATTTTAGAAGCATAGTGCAACGGTGCTACTACTGATATACCTTCCAAATTTCCCAGTTCTAGAGAAAGAATAGAGAGGACAGAAAAGGAGGACTTAAAATTGTCCAGCCCAAGGATGTGTGTTTGCTTTTCCTTCAAGATTGAGAATGTGCTGAGAGGAACAGCTCGGCCAGTAGTATCTGGATAGCAATGTGTAGAAGCCCACAGCTAGCTGACTCTGACTCCAGTTTCCCCTCTTTTAGCTGCATGACTGTGTCGGGTGAACTCATATTGGGGGTCTCACCTGGGTCATATGTTCACAGTTCCCACTTCCTGGAAGTTGTAGGTCAGTGCCTACTCCATCAGCACATGGCCCATTCTGCTGCCATTCTGATGCTCAACTTGAGCCAGAAACTCATAGCAGTCTGAAAGTGAAGTGTGTTTTTCCCTTTTGACATCTCTGCTGCTTACAGCCCATTTTGCCCATTTTTTTAAAGACAAGTTAGGGCATAAGGGCAGTCTGGGCAGTGGTGAGGTGTGTCAGATCCCACCGCAAGGGCCCTAAGTTAATACCTCTGGAAGCCTTACCTTCTCTTTGACACCCAGAGGCTTCTGGGTGCCTCGTGTCCAGTCAGCTGGCTTGCAGACCCAGTTCTCTAACCCTGGCTGTCTGATTTGTGACAGTGCCCAGACTATTTACTGCTTTTTCCCGAACGCTTCCTGAGATTCATTCACCCATGTAGAACAAGTATGTCAATGGACCATTTTCCCTAACATAGCCAGTCCCAGTAATCACAGGGTAAATAAATGCAAAGAGAATTTGGGCTGGCACATACCTGAATTGTGCCAGGTGCACATAGATTTTTCCAAGACAAAATGGTGAATCTTAAGGGGAGTATTTTTATCCTCTCTTGAGGAAAAGTACTTTAAAATGTGAAAAACTGAGGAATCAGAGCTTAAGGAGGAAGAGTAGACCCATTCTGGCCAAATTTTAGTGGACAGTATTGTCACTAACTGCTGATCACTGTCTCATAAGATATTTAACCCAAAGATTATATTGATGTTAATTATCTTGTTTGGGAAATGCATAGCAAAAACTGATTACTTAGCAAGTATTCTAATTGAAGAAAGCACAGTGCTCTTGACCACCAGTTTTGGCTTTTAAAAAATCTGATCCTGAGCTGTTAGTTATCCTCCTCTCCAAGCCTTTCTTTAGTACAAGTTAATCTTTAAGCTCTGCTTCAGTGTTGTTCTCCTTTACCTAAAATGATTCTGAAACCATTAGTATAAGCAAGGAAGTATACTGTCTGAGGCCTTTTAAAAAATTTACATATAATATTGACGCTGCAAAATAGGAACTAAGCATTATGATGCTAGCCCAGAGGTGGTCACATCTGAATATTCTCCTCTGGGCCTCCTGCCAAGAGGGGAGCGAGCCGCTTGGGGGGAGCATGATATGCTTATCTAAAGCTGCCTTATTTGAGGTTTTTCTCTAGAGACAGAGAGGAAAACTCAGGGGAGGCATTAGCCGTCGAAGCCAGCACCATCTGGTTTCTCACGCTGTTGGAAAGCATGTTTGGGGGAAGGGAAACCCAACAACAGGCAGCTCCTATTTCCCTTGCATCCATGGTGTACTCAGGATCAACTTAGGTTGGACCCAAATAAAGGGCAACTGAGACAGTGAGGCAAAGTAGAAGTGCCACCGTGTGATAACTGGTTGATGATAATAAATCACCTCTAAATTACACTTTTCTAACTCAGCCAAGGTTTAGTTCCTGTTTTGCAGCCTTTGGAAAATTTAGCTGTTCTGATCATTTGAAATATGTAGTCACCTGACAGGCTATAGTGTCTTATGTGTACCCAGAGGCACAAAGATGGCTGTCTGATCTAGCCCTGCCCTTGTCTAGGAAACACGCTGGAGAAGAAAGGTGGCAAAGAGTTTGTGGAGGCTGTTCTGGAACTCCGGAAAAAGAATGGGCCCCTGGAAGTCGCTGGAGGTGAGCTGGAAAGCCACTGAGCTCCTTGGGATGTGGCTCTTGGAGTATTCGGGAAATAATTTTATGAGATACTTCAGAAGTAGGAATGAGCAGAATGACAAATATATTTCCAAGATGATGCCAAAGGATAGCCCACTAACCTTACAAACATAGACTTCGATTGCATGAAAATTGTCAAGGGAGCTGAAGGCTATGGAAAAATGACCTTTCTTTTTTGTGTGTGCTGTACTGCTATGTCTTTTTTTTTAATGACCTTTCCAATTTTTTACAAAATGTTTATATTTAGTCCTCAAATTTTGAGGAATTACAAGAGCCACATTTAAAGAATCTAGAGCCAAGCCTTTTACAGCATGATCCATTCTAGAGCATGTGAGCCATCTGCAAAACTGCTAATGAGAGATGTCAATTAATAGTTTTATTCAGCCATCTGTGTTTTAATTAGAAAAGCATAAATATACATATCTCATATACATTTGCCAATTTCACCTTTCTTGATATGAAGTAGAAGGAAAAAACCTGACTTTGTGATTCAAGGAGCATTGTTAGTAGAGACTTGGGACAAAGTGGTCCTTACTCATGATTGCAGGCCTGATTTGAGATTTTATGTGGATTTTATGTGGCTCACTGGGCAGGGGACCTCCTGAGGGTCTAGGAGTCTGGAGTAGTGAGTTAAAACCCACCCCACCAGCAAGTGAAGAGATGCCTCTCTGGGCTCCAGGTTTCTTTCTGACTAGAGCATCATCATTCCTATTCTGTCTTTTAAATCCTCTTTTTGTTTCAAAAATGCAATGAATGTTAATGTAATATGGATGTCATCATTACTGTCATGGGTTCAAATCCCCCAGCTGCTTCTCAGGAGAAGGATGAGCAGTATCTTTCTGTGCAATTAACTGCCTCTGAAAACCCACTGTAGGGTCGACTGTGAATAGGTTCTGACTCGATGGCACACAACAGTAATCATTCCTGTGTACACAGTCCCTCCCCCAGGGCCCAGAATGGATTGAAGAGAGGCAGACCCAGATCCTGTCTGTCTCTCTCCAGTGACCACATTTCCCATCTTGGACTAGTCAAGGGGCCTCGTCATCTAAGACAGTGGATTACCTTTGCTCAATTGTGGGTTTGACCTCTCCTGTGCCAGTTCTGTTTTGCCTGCAAGGGGCCTAGCATGTTTGGAGATGGGGAGCCACTAATTATAAAGTATTCTATCTGGATCCATCAAAGTTTCAAGGGAGGCCACACAGGATGTTAAATATGCAGCCAGAGACTCCTGGCCTTTCCTAAGTTCTGTCTCAGCACTGCCCAGTGCCAGCCTGTGGTTTTTTTCCCATCAGTGCTGCCCAGGTCATGCCTAGGTAGGCCCACCCCATGAAATGCAGCACTCTCTTAGAGCAGTAGCCCTGCTGGTAAAATGCTGGCATAAGACATTTCTTAACCTCGTATGTAGATTATGACAACCTTGCTTGCCGAAACTGAGGAGGACCTGAGGCATGTGCTGCAGAAGGTCAAAGACTACAGCCTTAAATATGGAGTGAAGCTCAACATCAAGAAAACAAAGATTCTCACCCCTGGGCTGATTGGCAGCATCATGATAGATGATGAAGAGATTGTGATTAATAGCTTCAGTTTGTTTGGCTTGACAATGAATACTCTTGATACCAGCAGACAGGAAATCAAAAGGCAAATTGCATTGGGAAAGTCTCCTGTCAAGGAACTCTTCAGTGTGCTGAAGAGCAACTATGTCAGTTTGGATACTAACGTGTTCCTGATCCAGGCCATAGTCTTTGCAATTACTTGCTATCCATCAGAAAGCAGGACAATGACTAGAGATGATAGAGGGAGAATTGATGCCTTTGAACTGTGGTGCTGGAGAAGAATATTAAATATATACCATGGACTGCTAGGAGAAAAAACAGGTTCATCCTAGAGAGGGTGAAACCAGGCTGCTCATTGGAGGCAAGGATTCTGAAACTCCATCTGACATACTTTGGACATGTTGTAAGGAGGGACCAGTCCTTGGAAAGGGATGTTATGCTTGGGAGGGTGGAGGGACAGCTCAGAAGAAGAAGACCCTTGATGAGATGAATTGACTCAGTGACTGAAGTAATGGGAGCAGATGTGTCAGAGACAATGAAGTTGGCTCAGGATAGAGCAGCGTTCAGAGCTGTTATATGTCTCTGTGAATCACGTGACTCAACAGCACATAACAACAACAGGACTTTTTAACCTGACATAAGATTATTTTTTTTTAGCTTGCTTTCATGATCCATATTTTTCCCTTTGATGGAAAAACTATTTTAGAAAATTTTTCATGTTCAGATGTATAAAGAAGGTAAAACATACTTCTCCATTTTTCAATGTTTGCAGCTATAAAAATATGTTTCTTCTCACTCCATTCTCATGCATAATTTAGCAATGATTTTTCTGTGGGCAGACTGGAGAATTACTGCCCACATCAACAGAGTGGCCAGGACTCCAGCTCACAGGTACTGACCCCAGCACACCATCCACTGGTCACTCGCTTTCTTTAGTATCTACTAGTGATGACCTTAACAGCCTGTAACCTAGGGTTACAAGGATGATAAGTACTCCTCGAAAAATGGATTCCATAGTTCAAGTAGGTTTAGGAAATTTCTCAAGACCAAACAACAGGAATTGTTTGGATGTTTGCCATAGCAGAGGTGTGATGGGGCTTGTGTTACCATGGCTGTATGCCTTTCTGTGGGGCAACGAGCCTTACAGCAGCTCTGGGAGACACTGGTTTGACATCTAGGTAGACCCAGGCCAGTGTCTTTAGATCTTATAAGGCGACCTTGAGGAAAGGCTGATTTGTTGTGAAGCTCAAAGTGATTCTTCTCCCAGGAAAGCAGGCAAGCTTTCACAATCTCATTAAGTCAAAATTGAATAGAATCTGTTAAACAGCCTGGCATGGTAGTCCTTAGTAGGTTACAGAAGATGGCAGCAGAGATGTTGATGAGGTTGCTTACTTCTGCTTATAAGGGGTTTCTGTTAACCTGAATTGTACGTGGGAGATTTATGTTGTAGTCATTACATATCATTAGTTGGAAACAACTAATAGCTGATCCTCTAGCAGATTTTAAGAGGCAGTAAATGCACGTTTTGTGTTCTCATCTTCTCACATAACATCTGGTGGATTAGAACTGTGTGTCTTTGAGTTGGCAGCACAGTTCCTTACCACTAGGCCACCAGAGGTCCTAGGAGACTTATAGACACCTCGAAATTATTTGTGTATCAGTCCTCTTGAGGAAAAAGTACTAGGGACTCAAAAAAGGCCATTATTTCAAGGATGTAAGCCTCTGCACACATTCAATTGAGTGATTAACACCTGCCTTCAGGGAACGTTTTCTACAAGTTAAGCAACCTCTCTATCTTGCCTAAAATTCTGATATTGAGGCATCCCAAACTCCAGCCTTCCAAGGATAGATCTTGGCTTTCCTGTCTCTGTAGTGAGAAGACTAAAACATGAGTGGTTCCAGCCGCTGGACTCCTGTTGGGATCACAGCATAGTGATAGCTGGGTTTTTCCTGGCAGAGGCCATAGGAGGGCGAGGAAAACATGCTGTAGCTGGAGACAGAGTCTGTGTGTAGCATCTTGTGCCTGTGTGCCTTGCAGAGGGATAGAAGTCACTATGTCTTTCTCCTCCTCTCCAGCCGCTGTCAGTGCAGGCCATGGCCTGCCCGCCAAGTTTGTGATCCACTGTAACAGTCCAGTGTGGGGTGCGGACAAGTGTGAAGAGCTTCTGGAAAAAACAGTGAAGAACTGCTTGGCTCTGGCAGATGATAAGAAGCTGAAATCCATTGCATTTCCATCCATTGGCAGTGGCAGGTAAGGCCATGCTTACTTGCAGATATAACTCTTGTTATATATATAGATTTGCTCTGAATCTGTAGATCTCTGACTGGACAGTGCTTACTGAGGTTCCTTTAATACACTTGCCTCAGGCATATGGACCAGAACACAAAGTAAGATAAAAGCAAACATTAAACAATGATGAGGGACGTTTCCAGAGATAGAGTGAGACAGGAGTCCCAGTGACCACAAAATACACGCCTGACCTTCCATTCTCAAGCATCCTTCACCTCAGTAAAACCTGTTTACTCTGCCTGTTTTGCTACCCTTAGTGACACTCATTACTTGCTAACGAGGCAAATGGATTTAGTGGAAATGAACAATTATGTGACAATAAAAGAGCTAGGCCTCTATGCCACCTCCCATCCCTGAGATCCTTGGAGGATCCCATCACAGTTGTCTTTAAGTCAGATTTATAGCCAGAAGTCACCATTAGAAGAATGAGTCCTTTAACAACTGATGGAGCCAATGTAACTCAATAGTAACTTCAGTTACCCCACATATACCTGTCTGCACACCTCTAATTTCTAACCATCAGAATAGTATCAAGCTGTGGCTCAGGGTCTCAAGGCCTGAAGTGGGAGTCCTGCCTGGGGCATTAACTAGGTGGTGAGCAGTCAAGCTTAAATGAATCCCTACTGTGTACCCATTATGACTCTTAACATGAGCATCCTAATCCCCTCGTGCAACACTGCAGGAGATTAAAGGAGAGGACTCTAGAACTCTGAGCTATGATCCCAAAGCCCTTAGATAGCTTTGCTTCTGAGTTGTGGCCCATCACCCATGACATCACCAGGGTTCTCCCTGGTAAAAATCTTAATGTTGCATGTTTTTGAAAGGCTCTAGGTCTGGATTGGAAGCTAAAGCCAAGGGAAATGCTCGCCCAGGGCAGGTGGAAGGCATACTTACCACTGTCCCTGGGATTTCTCTTCCCATATTGTGAACCACTTTGGCCTCTTAACCTCAGTCCCTCCTAGAGCATAAGGGCAGGCTATGTGGCAGCAGCAGGGATTTCTGGCAGGGACCTCTCATGGTCCCCGCTTCCCGTGCAGGCCTGAGCACCACAGGCTGTGCCATTCTCCTGGAGGAAGCCTGTGTCACAGCTCTCATGAACATTGTTTGGTGTATTCCTTTGAAAGCTGCTCCTCCCCAAGCACTCCCCTTTCGAACTCTAGAGGAAGGTGCAGGGTAATTTTTGCTCTCCCTCTCAGGCAAGCTTTGTAATTCTGCCTCCCTGAGTGTCGCTGTCACTGAGGTCCCACACCTCAAGTGAAGGTGACAGACCAACACAAAGCTTCCTGTCACCCTGCAGTGGCCATTCCAAGCAGAGTTTGACCCTGTACTAGCAGAAGGCCTTGCCTACGGGCACAGCTAAGGCTTCCTGAGGGTCCTCCTTGGCCTAAGAGCATGACAGTCTGAATGTACTTATCTGACAGCTAACAGACTCCCCAGTTACAAATAGGTTGTTTTGTATGGCTGTCTTACCAAAACGTATGTGAAACATGATTTTAAAAATCTACATTTTAAATGCATGGGGGGGGAAAGCTCACAGAGAAAAAGCAAAGCAGAGCTCTTCCAACTTTTAGCAGCAGGTGCTTAGACAAACACATTCTAGAGTGACCAGCACACACCCTGATGATTGAACTTCCCTACAGTTATGGAGATGTGTGATAGGTCCCAGAGCCCAATCCTTACATGGACTTAAAGACTTTTTGAAATAAAGTACTTTTAGATCACCCCTTAAGCTGTCATGCTTTCTGCTGCTCCCACTCTACTATCCCCACTTCGCACAAAAGTTCCACTCTGCCATTGAGCTACACAACCTTCAGCAAATGGATCAGCTTCTCTGTCCCTCGGCCTGCTTATCAGTGAGCGAAGCTGCGGGACGGCCCTTCCTCAGATGGTTCCACGACTCATGTAATGAGTGCCTAGGATACACCTTTGATCTACTCTGATGAAAGGTGCTTCCGAAGAGAGAGGCAATCGGAGCCTTTATTGGAGGTAATAATTTCACGCTCTTTCACATGGCCATTGGGAGATTTTTAATTGAAGCATAAAAGTAATTCCCGTAAAAGAGCATCTGTTATTACAAACTTATTTACATTTTTCATGGAGTAAAAAGTTTTTAAAAATAATAAATTGCAAGCTTTTAAGAGGGCGGAATGCCAAAGGCACACATGTGCACAGCCGCCCAGGCCCCGACATCTGTCAGGCAGACGTCGTCCCCCAGCCGTGTATACAGCTGCCCTCCCTTTCATGAGTCAAGAATGGGATTACACCAGAGCTGGCCAGTAAATCATGGCAAATTTTAGGAGGGGACATAAAACAGCTTGTTTGTGCATCTAGTGTCTCCAGCATAAAAGTTGTGGTGGAATTAAAATTATATAAATGCAATCATATTGGAGACAAGCTGCGGAATCACTTTCTATTCACCGAGGCCTAGCATCCGTGGCACCTGTGCAGGGGTGATGGGACCCACCTGGATGGCAGCTTGCTCAGCCCACCGGCCGCCGGCACATCTTACTCATGCGAGGCCTCAGGACTCCAGTGTAACCCTGGCCGCAAGAAACCACCTTTGGCAGCTGGACACCCGTCCCCAGCCAGTCTGGTCTCAGTATTTATGGACATCCTTGCTCCCTTGGCTCTCCTTGACATTAGAGGGCAAGTCTTTTCTGAAGGGGCAGCGCACAGACTCCCTGTTTGGTGATTTGATTAAACTCTGCTTAGATTTATGAGCATAAAAGTAAAGCCATTTTGGTTTATTTTGCAGCTACCATTTATGAGTTTTTATTGCGTCCTAGGCCCTGTGCTTAAACCCTAACCTGTGCTATCTCCGAACAGCCCTAATGAGGGAGCCTGGTTGGTAATTTCACTCCAGAGGTGAAAAGAAAAAAATCTTGGGAGGGCTTCAGTGCTTCACCCGAGGTCGCACAACTTGTATTGGAGCCAGAGTTTGAGTGGGGTCCTTGGCATTAGAGCCCATAGCAGTTAGCACATAAAACTCTGCCTCCTGTCCCCCCCTTGGGTTAGACAGACCCTTGTTTCCAACTCAGCAAAAGGATATCACTCAACCGAAGGATGGCCTGCTGCCCACATGCTCTGACCGCATGGGCATTATAGGTCCCTGAGAGTGCTTAGCTTGTCCGCTCCTCAGGAGAGGACAGAATCAAACCCAAAGGTCTCTGGATTGACAAGAACTAACTTTGACCCCAAAGCATTATGATGCCTGGACTGAGATGAAGAGGCCACTCTGAGGCTGTGCCACCCAGTCCTTCTCTAGCAGTAGGAGAGAGCCTAGAGAGGCCTTGGACCATGCCCTCCCTCTTCTGCACGTCAGCTTCCTCTTCTTCAGACAACTGCTGTCAGATCAGGTCTCTAATGGCCTTTACCCCTGGCGGAAGAGACCTCTGTTTGGAACAACTTCAGTTACTTAAAAGCAGGCAGAACATGAAAAACTAGTGTGAGAAAGCCCTAAAGCTAGCAGATTAGTGTCCACATGTGGGGTGGTGGACATTTTCCCACATCAACCAGGATTTCAGGACACCCAGCCATAACCATCCCCAAAGCAGCCCAAAAAACTAAATAGATTGATTGACCCAGCAAGAAAGCTAGATTGCATTCTTAAACAGGGCCAGGCTTCTGGCTTGCCTCCTTCAGGAAATTGTCCTAGATTTTGTCCTCGGATAAGTCTCTCCCAGTGGAGGCTCCAACACCGCACACTCCCCAGCCCCCCACCCCCGATCTCCCTGTTCCTCACAGCTCCCAACCCTGCCATGGGCCTGCCTTGCCTTGCCCATTCCACAGGGGGAACTGACAGTAGGGACTCTCGTGAAGGCCACACATGAAAGGGGCCCAGTAGGAAGGACACTAATCCTGTGCGTTGCTTATCTTGGTGAACCCAGAATCTGTGCACAACCATTTTTTCCAGTCAAGGACACTGATCCTTAAGGAGATTGATAACATTATCCAGGGACAGCTGCAATTCAAATCTGAATGTGACTCTAGGCTATAAATGCATAGCCCTTGGTGCTATATTATATCGTAGGAGATGGCATCTGAATTGGAAGACAGGCAGTGCAACTGTAGGTTAGAGTGACTGTCACAGAGGCAGTGAGTCTGAGATGAGAGAGGAAGACAAAGATTTGGGCAGCTAGGAGTGGCCATTCGACAGGCTCTGGTTAAACAATGACCATGGGAACCCATTCAGCTGAGAAGCCAAAGAGAAGAGAGAGGTGCAGAAGGCTGGTGGTTCTGAGAAGGCAGAGCTGCGTTGCTTACTCTATAGCCCCAACAGGCTACTGTCCTGCCAGACACAGATAGCAGCCCTTGGGCCCCGAGGCCAAAACTCTTATTACCACCATATGACTGTGGGCATGGGCAGTGAGGCCAGTCACCCAGCCACAGGGGCCCAGATGTGGCCTCATGAGGCACTTTTACTCTGTGAAGCCTTCTTCCTGAAGCTGATTGAATTATTAAGGATGTGAGAAAGATCCTTAAAATTTACCCACTTCATAGATAACTACTATTGGTCAGGGGAGCTCTAGTGGTACAGTCTGTAGGGGTTGCACTGCTCACCCAAAGGTGGTGCCCCTGTTGAGAGGTTCAGATTCACTAGAGGCTCCAGAGAAGAAATGTGGGTAATGTCCTCTTGTGTGATTTACAGGCTCCAAAAACCCACTGGAGGGTCAGCTGTGTCAGTTCTGACTTGATAGCAGTGAGTTTGAGTTTTTTACTATTTATTGAGGATTCCCTGTGCATGTCCTGGTGCTTAATGTTACTCAGTACCTACAACATCCCTGTGCAGTAGGTACTCTGATTACCCCACTCCACCAGGTGAAATGAGAAGGTGGAGACCTGGCCAGGACGCAGATACAAGCTAAGGCTGTCAGCCACTCTAGGGGCAGGTGGGTGCTGCCTCAGCCCCTGCATGTTCCCAGCTGACTTAGGAATCTGTGTATACATTCCATTTTGTTACATTTTATTTAACTTGGAGACTAGAAAACATTTGGGTCCTCATCTGTAACTTGAGGAAAGCCACCTCCTATGCTGCCCTATCTTGGCAGTCTGCACAGTGCAAAGCACCTACTGCCCCATGGCCAGGTTTCTTCTTTAGACTGTGGCCACCTTGGAAAGAAGTTGGTCTTGTTAGTGAGTGAGAGGTTTTCCTAAAAACAAATCCAGATTCACGTTCACCCAGCCTTAGTCTTGCAGGGCAAAGCCAGGCACATTCTGGCGGAGACCTCCCAACAGGGATGCAAGTGTGATCCGTAAGGCTTTGTGTACTGATTTCATTGGGTGCCCTGAGCCAAGTCACGGTATTTTCACTGCGTATGCTTGTGAAAGTTAAGTAATAAAATGGAATGCAGGAGAAGTAGTGAGGTACTCAAACTGCAGTAGGCAAAGAACATTAACTATGTTGTCAGCTGCCAAAAGAAGCAGCAAATCCGTTTTGGCAGGAGTGTTTGTGTTTGATAGAAGTGTGAAGGGTAAATCTTTAACTCACAAGAAAGACCAGTGTCTAGAAAAGGACTGTATTTGGTACAAAGGCAACAAAAAATGAAGGAAAGCCTCCACACGGCGGATGACACGATAGCCACAGCAGTGGACTCAGGCTTCCCAAGGAACTCGGAGATGACAGGATGGGCGATATATCATCCTGTTGCCAGTTCACAAGGTTGCCACGTAATGAGGTCTGAATTATTTGATTGTTGTCTTTTTCCCTTACAGGTTCTTAGAAAGTATGTCCTCTTCAAGCTCAGACTATAAAGTCTGTAGAAGCTCAATCAAACCCATTGCCTAGTCAGTTCTCACTCACGAGGCCCTCTCTCTAGTTTCCAAGGCTGTAAATTTTTTTTTTTTTTGAGAGGGGATTGTGGGCTGGTGGAGGCTGTAAATACAAGAAATACTGCCAATTTTTCTCTCATAGACCATGTATGGTCTTCAATGTGCGGTCCCCAGAGAGACCACGCCAGCCATCTGTGTGATGGGCCCCTGTGGTTCTGATGCAGGCTGAAGTGTGAGAACTGGCAGTGTAGGGGGCAGGGAAGAGCGTTCCTCACTGAAACATGCATGTTTAGGGGTCCAAGATAGAGGAAACAAGAGCTTTGGAAGGGGAAGATCTGTCAGAAAATGAGGGGTGAGGGCAAAGGGGCTGAGAGCATACCGTGCTCACCACTCCGCGTCCCACGTAGCATCAGCCCAACCTCTGCATGCTGTGGTAGCTCAGCAGCTAAAGAAGCCCTCCCTGCACCAGGGTCACCTCCAGCAGGGCCAGGGACAACACATGGATAGGACTGTGGCCACCAGACCATACAAGCGATGACAGCTCAGGGAAGCCCCAACAGGCAGTATGAAGTAGACAAGCCAGGAGGGGACCCTCACAGAGGGAGCTTGGAACCAACAGGGCATAGTTTTGAGCTTCACATGTAAAGGATGCTCCTCTTCATAGCCTGTCAACACCTTCCAGGTCAGGCTCCAGGCAGCTCTGTCCAGTCCACCAGACCCCCGCAATGCTGCCATCGCCGGCCACACTCATTCCTGCCTGCCTGGCTGGTTGCTCGCTGGCTCTTGCTAAGGCTTTTCTGTGGATAAAATTAATGGGGTCGTCATAATTGGATCAGTCATTTTGTCAGCAGCTGTATTTACAGCAGGAACATAAACATCCACTCTTTGTGAAACATTTAAAAGGAGCTCTTTATTCCATTGCCCCTGTGACTTGTACCTGCACACAAAAGCTGACCCAGGTCCCTCCTCTCAGGAGGAGCCCCAGGTTCAGGGAGGGCAGCATGCACACACCAGTGAATGTGAGTTGGGCTCCCCATGAAGCTCACCTACATACACTCTAGGGAACACACTCAGCAGGGATTCCACACTAAATGGAAGGCCAAGTTTATACTCTCAAGCAGTCCTCAAAATGTGTCTTATTCTGAAATACTTATCCTCTATGCTTCTCTCTTTTGGAAAAGTAGTCAAGGCAACTTCCAGGTGTGGTAAGAAAAACATATTGCTAGATGGAACTTTCAGATCTAAAAATACGGATGTGTATAAGGGTTTGCCTGCCATGTGGACTCAGACCTTCCTTTTACATGGCCCCTGGCCCACCTGCTGTTCACATCAGCCAATCTGGTAGAACACGGAGCCACCAGGATTTCCTGGACGAGGTTCACAGCACTGCCCTGCTCAGAAGTCTCCCAGCAACCTTGCATGTGCTGGCTCCTCCACACAGGCTGGAGAGCAAGCTCTGGGTGGCACCCATCAGCCCTCAAAGAATGAATGCTGTTTCCAAACCACCCCGGGGGATCTATTTTCAAGCTGAGTGGTGTGATGTTAGAAACAAGTCAGAGTTGTTGTTTTTGCCCTGACTCTGAAGGAGCTCTGGGGTCTTAAGTCCTTGGTGTGTTGTGCCACTACCAAAGGCTGCGTGTCTTCAGTGCACCAGTGCCTGTGGGCAGTCCCTTTAAGAGCTACAGCCTGGGAAACCCAGTGGAGGGTGGCTGTCGATAGGAAAGAACTCTGGTAGTGACTTTGAGTGACCAAAGTGCTCTAAGCTCTGACAGTAGAGGAAAAACATGGCTGTCCAAGGACCAGATTAATGGTTTAAAACCCACAAGTGTTATCATGAATGAGGGGAGGCATATAACAAGCAGTACTACACCATTGGTGTCTGAAGGCTTCTCCCAGCCAGGGCCTGATCCAAAAGAGAGTCCTAGCTGAAGCTGTGGGGTTGGCCAGCACATTGGGCCTGATGGCTGCAGACTGTAGATCTGCTGAGAGAACACCTGGTTGCTGAGACCTTGTATTCTCTCCCGTGGGGACGGTTTTCCAAAGCAGATGGCAGCCCAGTGTGAAATGAAATCAGTCAGTAAGGGATTGAACTCATACCCCAGAGCCGATTTATTCTGACCAGACAGACAGAGGCTGCCACACTGACAGCTACCCAGCCCCTGGGTCATCCAACAGTCCCCACAGTGTGGACAAGAGGGCAAGGGGACACCATTTTCCCATCCTGATGTCCAGTCCTGCTTTAGTTCTGAGCTCTTATCAAATGTGCCAAGTGATGAAGATATTAAATTAAAAATGTGCATGAACTCTAATAAATTAGGCCCAGAGAATCAATACTAGCCCCTTGAGATGAAGAGACCATTTAGCCCAGAGTTTTCCCCTGGACCCACAGTTCCTTGATACCTTGGCCTTTGGGGTAAGTTCCTGGCCATGTACTCAAGAAGTCTAAAGGCCAAGTGTGAAGAGTATATAACCTTCCATGGATGTAGGTCATTGTCCCCCTAGAGAGCTACCCTCTGTAGTAGTCCTCAGGAAAATCTGCAGCCTGAGCTATGTGTCACCTTGTTGGTAGGAAGGAGACTTAAGGGGGAAAGTGTTGGAATGATGGCTGCCCTTATGCGGCTTCTAGCATACCACACCACAGAGCACATCTCTTTTCACCACACGCGCTAGCCCGCCTTCTTTCTCTGGAGGCACATCCCTCTCTTGGCTCACAGTTCTCTGCTCATTTGTCCGTGCCCGCATCTTATAAGGACCAGGTCATCTCACGACCATGCTAAAAAACAGCCACAGGTCCTGTGGACTGTTACCTATATGGGACCACAGGGGCTGGGTATGGTGACCCACGAGCGGGTGGGAGTGACAGCTACCTCCTCCCCCTGGTTGCTGAGACCTTGTGTTCTGTCCTGCAGGAACGGTTTTCCAAAGCAGACGGCAGCCCAGCTGATTCTGAAAGCCATCTCCAGTTACTTCGTGTCAACAATGGCCTCTTCAATCAAAACAGTGTACTTCGTGCTTTTCGACAGTGAGAGTATAGGCATCTACGTGCAGGAAATGGCCAAGCTGGACGCCAATTAGCCTGAGGAACTACAGAAACAGCCCACATCATGTCCTCCGCCTCCCAATTTGAAAGAAAACAAAGAAAAAGGAAAAAAAAATATCCCCTTCACTCCTGGGAGGCGGGAGCCCTTTATGTTTTCAGTTTTGCTCATCTAGGGAAAATAAGGTTTTGGTTTTCAGTTTAATTGTTTTTGACCTTCTAAAATGTTTTTATGTTAGCACTGATAGTTGGCATTACTGTTGTTAAGCACTGTGTTCCAGACCTTGTCTGACTTTAGTGTAACCTAGGAGATTTTATAGTTTTATTTTAATGAAACCCTGATTGGCACAGAGCAGTGGGAAAAGCAGTGTCTTTCACATGTGGCTGAACCCAGGAAGCTGTTTGGTAACCGTGTGTTGTGGTGCTTTATTGTACACCCAGTGGCATTCTTTTTACTATCATGTTTTCTCCCCCGCCCCTACCCCCAGAAGAAGGAAAAAAAAAACCCAAGAAAAATTACAGATTTGCGGCAGACTAATTTTTTTGTTTACTTACTGTCTTAATGATGGATCTGAAAATGAAAGATGTAAAAGGAACAGAACTTCTTGTCCTTAATTATATTTGGAATTTGTGTGAATTGATTTAGTAAAATGTTAAACTGTTATTGTAACTGGTGCATTTCAAGTGCTTGTGTGTGCGAGTCCTGAGTCTGGGGCTGGGGAGCCCACTCTGGCACTATGTTGGCTTCCAAGGCCTGTGTGGTACTCTACGGTCCCTTAGTGGTGTGTAGAAGCAGTTCTTGAAAAGTTCCTTCTATTTTCCTTGTAGAGTGTGGCAAGGATGTTGTCACCACTTCTTAAATCAGGAAGCAGGAGGCCACAAAGGTACCTGAGCCCAGGTTTTCAGATTCAGCCCAGCCCTCTCCCTCTACTCCCTGCTCCGACAGTCTGGGCCTGGGTGCCCCTGGACTGCTTTGTAAATAGAGTGAGAGACCTTGAGCCCTCTGCTGGGCTCATTGGCCTGTGTGTCTCTACAGGCCAGAAAAGAGGGGCTCTAGGAACTTCCCAAAAGCAAGCTGTCACCACCCAGGTCCCCAGGATGTGCTTGCCACTTTTATGGCCCTCTGACAGGTGTTTAGGGCTGTTGATTATTTAGAAAGATCCCAGGGTGACTAAAATATGTTAGCAACACATGGACACTTTTTACCTCAAAGGGCACTTGTGCCTTCATTCAAATTTCCCCCCAAATGTACCTAAGGTTATTTCCATCTTTTTAAAATGAAAAGCAACTACTTCACAAATCAAGAAGAAATAGCAGAATCCTGACAAATGTGAATGATCCTTCAGCCTTTCCAAACTTTGCCGACTGAAGTGAAACAAGGTACTAAATCTTCATATAACTAAACTCCTTTTCAACTAAAAGGAAATTACTTCTACATCTGATAGAACACTTCCAAATACCTTCTAAATGTGTTAGTAAGATTTTCAGTTTCTTTCTCCAAAATCTGCAGTGGATCATATTCTTATTAGGGAGCTCTGGTGGCTTAGTGGTAAGGAATTGGGCTGCCAATGCAAAGGTACATGATTTGAATTCAACCAGCTGCTCTGCAAGAGAAAGATAAGCAGTCTCCTTCCATGCAGTTTACTGCTTCTGAAAATCCATTGGAAGGACAGCTATGAGTCTCTTCCAATTCAATGGTACATAAAAACATTTATTATAAGGGAGCTCCTGTGGCTTAGTGGTAAAGAGTTGAGCTGCCAATTCAGAGGCACACACACAGTTCCAACCCACCAGCTGCTTTGTGAGAGAAGGATGGGCAGTCTTCTCCTGTGCAGTGTATAGCCTCTGAACCCCCCTGGAGGTTCGGCTATAGGTCCCTTCTGACCTTACAATACATAACAAGGTATCTTTATTAGTTTGACTTACTCCCTCAAAAAGAAAGTTTAGTATTGTATTTTTAAAATGTACCTTACAACATAATGGTGTCTGCAGACTCCTAAGAGAGGTTTGTAGGATCTGCAGTGCCCCAACAAAGGTGATGAGCAGTGAACAATGACTGCCAGAGAAAGCAAGGGAAGTCATCAGTGAGAGGGCCTGATGCAGTAGCAGCAACAGCAGGTTCACACATTCCAAAAATCGTGGGGACAATGCACCCAACAGTGTTCTGTACTGTTCTACATGAGATCATTGTAGTTGGCCCTGACTCGACAGGAACTACCCACACTACTCCTGTGATACTGGTTCTTCGCTGTGTGCCAGCCATTGCACTAGGTTCTTTATAGGCACTATCTTGTTTTGTCTCATCTTTGCAGCAATGCTATAGGGCAAGCTGTAACTAGTTTCATTTTAGAGCAGAGAACACTGAGGATGAAGTGACCAGCTTATAGTTATAAAGCTGACCTTGTTAGGCATCATCAAGTACTCCACAACAAGTGAATACAGATGGCAACTCTGCCCTATCCTGCACCGTCCTCAGGATCTGTGCCATGCCTGAACATACTGTTAAAGTCACTTATCAGTCAGTCCATCTCGTTGAAAGTCATCTCTTGCTGACCGACCATTCCCAGAATGATGTCTTTTCCCAATGGCTAGCCTCTCCTGATAGCATGGACAAAGTATATGAGATGTATGAGATGACGTTTCCCCAGCCTTCTCTCTAAGGAGCACCTTGATTGCACTTTTTATATATTACACACACACACAGTATTCCCCAGCACCACCCACCATCAAGCATCAATTCTTTGGCCACTGTCCAATTTTCAGCTATTGAAAATAACCATATTATAGTGCTAAAATTAGTATCAGAATAATAATAATATGATACATAATGGATAGTACTGCATACTGTAATAAGCCCTAAATTAAAACCATTTACAGTGATCACTGATACGGGCTCCTTGAAATACTCATCATATATAGAGTCTGATGAACATAAAGATACAAGTGAGGTTTAAATGTCTAGCTAATATTTAGAGAACACCATGGGTTTTGCAAAGGATATCCACTAGATGTCGCTAAAAGAATTAGAAAATAGTAAAAAGGACAGCCAGTTTCTGCTCTTCAGATTACACAAAAGAATAAATTGCATTTTTGGGGGGTTTGCATGAATTATTTCCCAAGATCACCTAAATGTTTCTCAATTTTCAGTAATGCAGGGTGTATGTGCCTCTGAGATGTGGGCTCATTGAAGAAATACTTTGCAATAAAATAGCTAAGAGCCAGCAACCCCTGTGTGATCACCCATCATCTCTAAGCCACCTAGTTTTTAAAACTGGAATCAGAAACTTCTCTGACGTCACCTTCATGTTTAGAGGGTGGGGGAAAGACCCATTTTAAAAATGGATGGAGAAAGAAAGAAATGAATGAATATTGATGAAATTGCAATAAACGTCTTGAAATGGACACATGCTTGTTTAAAGGAAAAATTTGCCATTAACAAAATATCAGAATGAAAGTGTTCTGTGAGGAGGAACTTCCAGTCATTACTAGAGAGGTGAGTGGTTCTGCCAGGCCTCCTGTTCACTGTGAGCTGTGTGGGAGCCAGACTCATAGCAAGCACTATGTCACCCACTCTCTCACTGTCACTGCCCGAGTGTCACCACACACACAAGTCCATGCATCTAGCGTCAATGGGTCACTAGACAGACAAAGTCCTTTCCCAATTATTTCTTCAGAAACCACCCTTGCTTTCTCAGAGGCAAGGCTGTGCTCTGAATTATCCACAGGATTCCCTTCACACCCTTCCATGAGCCTTTTTAAATGACAGATCTAACACAGTCCCATGGCTCCAAGAGGAAGCAAACCGACAGTAGTAGATACTCTGTGTATGTGAATGTTCACCGGTATGTGCGTGCACACACCAGTCTTCTACATCTATTTCATTTACTTCTCTTGGCAAGTGTGAGGTAGAAGGCACCATGCCAAGTTGCAGATAAGGGACACTGAAGTGACACACAGTTTCCAAGGTCACACAGCTATAACTGGTGGGGTTAGAATTTGAGCCCCGCTATTGTGAATCTGGTGCAGGGCAGGGCAAGGCAAGGATTTTTTGTGTAGTCCATTGCACAGCAGATGTCTGAGTCTACACCCAGATGTCTGTCTCGCTCCCCCTGAAGCTGAGCTCACCTCTGATATCTGCCCAGCACTCTGTTCTTCAGATAGGAAGGGCTTCTTGCCTGATCACAGACTGGTCCTCTGGGGCCAACTCTGGGGAAATGAACAGAAGCTGCCAGCCGGTGATAGACAAATAAAACCCATGTATTCAAGGCTATGCAGTGGCCAAAGAGGATTCATTGAGTGCTCATGATGAATGGGTCCTCAGACTGGGAGCTTCTGACAACAGGTGAGATTTGCCTCTTGCCAGTGAAAGGCCTGCTAAACAGACTCTGGAGCAGACTGCTTATGGCCTCAGGGACTCAGTGAAGGCTTCTTGGAGCAAACAACCTGCAGCTGGTGGAGGGACTAGACTATTTAAGGCCAGAAGAATGGGATGGTAGATGGCAAGATGGCAGAGTCTGTTCCCTCAGCTCCAGTGGCAGGGGGTGAGGATTGTTACCCCAGGACAGAGCCATTCGGCCTCAGCCTCTGCTCCCAGCCCCCAGCCCCATCATTTGGAGCTATCCATCCACCCATGGGTTTGTTTATCTGAGAGAATTCCTTCCTCACATTCCGGGTCAGAATGTGGTCACAGCTGCAGTTAGCCCTGACAGTAAAAATGACTTACCCTAAGTGTGTGTGTGTGTGTGTGTGTGTGTGTGTGTGTGTGTGTGTGTGTGCAGTTACCCTATCGCACACACACTCACACATACACACTCAAGATATGCACACTGTTGGTGCCTGCCTGTCTTGGGAGGGCAGGAGGCCTGAGGGAGCCAGTCAGTGGGGGCTGTCATACAGGCTGCGTCATCAGGCACCTGAGTAGTCCTGGTTCCCCCTCACCAGAGGCTGTGTGTGTGTGTGTGTGTGGCAGTGGGGGGGGAGGGGCTTGGCTGATTTTTTTTTCATGAGCAACTGTGATGTTTAATTTCCACTACCGAGTGCCTCCCGCAGACGCAGACAGTGTTATCTCAGGAGCTGGCCTTGGTGCCGCCTTAGAGC